TTTTAAGTATTCAGTAGTTTTTTTTTTCTTAACAGCTGTTAAAGCAAAGATGGATGTGACCATCAGTGTGCATGTGTACAGTGTGCAGAGAGCTGAGCTGAAGGATAATTCACCACTTTACAATACAGATTATGAAGCTGTTAAGGAGAACCTAACAAACTGCAACAAGTAAGTGATACTCATATAACCTGTAATGCATCATGTGCATGCATCATATGCTGAAGTTGTGACACATCCAATATTTCTGGTCTTTCCTCAGGTACAGCGCTATACGTTGTGCTGCGGCGGTCCCAATGTCATCTGCTGGGCTGCAGAGAGCTCAAGAGATGGCTTTGGTCCCTCCAGAGGAGAAGGAAATCAGTAAACCTGGCTTGAATGAAAACACTTCAGCTACCTCCAAACCCAGTGCTAAGCAGCCAGCGGGTATCATGGGAATGTTTGCCAGCAAAAATGCTTCTAAGAGCCAAGAATCCAGCAAGGAAGTGAAAACAGAACAGAAAGACGATTCTTCCCTGGTAAGGGTGTAACTCTATAGTTTAATGTTGATGGCACACAAGATTGTGTGTGAAATTTATAATGGTTTCATATGATGTAGGTTGAAACATCAAAAAGCAAAACAGCCTCCAAAGCGAACCCGATGAGTAACTTCTTTGGGAAGTCTGCCCAAAGTGAGTGTTCTGTCTTTTCTGCCAAAAAAATAAAAACAAAGCATAACATACAGTAACCAAACAAAACATTTTCCTGTGAAATTTAGAAAAGGCTGATGAAAAACCCAACAAAAGCATTAAGGAAGAGACGGATGGCAGCTCAACAGCTACTGCAATTATGAAACAGTCACAGACGTCTCCCAAATCCAAGATTGACATTAAAGATGAACAATCCAAAGTGTCCAGTGCTTTGAAGGTTGAATCAAAAGACACTCGGAAGTAAGGTTTATTTATTTTTCAAAGAAATGTTGTAAAAAATATAATGTGAATAATGTTATATTTTATGTGTAAATAAGTTCTTTAATTTATTTATTCTAATTTATTTATTTTAATATATGTATATATATATTTTTATAAAAGGGGTCATAGGATGCTACATGCACTTTTACAAATTGTTTGAACTGAAATGTGTGTTGGCAGTGTGTGTACACAACCACCCTATAATGATAAAAATCCACCCAGTGGTTTT